CAGGCGATGAGGAGGTACTGGATAAATATTTTTGAATAAACAAACAAACAGAAGATAGATATGGGTATAGATATAGATATAGATATAAATATAGACATATCGGGGTCACCAACAAGCCAACCAGATTTTACCAATGGCTTCCAGCACAGGGTGACAAGAAAAGTGACAAAACCTCCACGTGCACGATAATACTGATGTTTTGTTAAAGAAAACTCAGCTTTTAGTGTAAGGTTTGACTCCCTATTGACATAGAAACCTCTGCTGGGTAGAGGTAATGTTTGCACAGAATGTTAGAGCCAAAGGCATCTGAAGTTCAAGTCCCCGATGGGGAAAGAGAGCCCAGAGAGATGATGGGATCACACTAACAGTAGCAAGTAATATCTGCAAAGCACTTTTTAGTTTCGGAAGCATCTTCACTTCCTTATTTCTCACTTGATCCTCACAACAATTCTACTGGGCAAGTGGTGGTAATATTAATAGCATTGTATTATTTACAATTGCCAAAGTATGGAAGCAACCTAAGTGTCCATCAACAGATGAATCGATAAAGAGAATGTGGTATATATATACAATGGAATATTACTCAACCATAAAAAAGAATTTAAATTTTGCCATTTGCAGCAACCTGGTCGGACTTGGAGGGCATTATGCTAACCAAGTGAAATACATGAGACAAATATTGCATGATATCACTTATATGTGGAATCTAAAAAACTACAACAAACAAGTGAATAAAATAAAAAAGAAGCAGACTCACAGATACAGAAAACAAACTAGTGGTTACCAGGGGGAGAGGGAAGGGGGAAGGGGCAATATAGGGGTAGGGGAAGAAAAAGGGTTATTATGGGACTACATGAAATCATGTGTTTGAAACTTGAAAACTGTAAAGCAGTATAGAATTTAAAGAATCTTTCATTCAGTAAAAAATAATACAATGCAATAAAATAAAATAAAAATGTTGGTAGCATTATAATTATATTGAAATACAATAATTAACCTCCTGAACTGTGTACTTAAAAATGGCTAAGATGGTAAATTTTATGTTATGTGCATTTCACCACAATCAGAAATTAAATTATATATGGGTATATATATAAAACTATTAGCCACAACTCTATTTTGTACATAAAGCCAATAAAGCTCAGAGAGGCTGTGATTTGTAAAAGTCACACAGTAAGGATTGTGTGGGGAAGCCAGCCTCACATCAGGACTTGCTCTGGACCTTTCCTACAGGGAGAGGGAAACTTCACAAACATGCCAAGAACCAACCTCAAGCTAGAAGATCAGTGCCCTGAGTTTTCTAAGGAAGCTTCTAATACACTTAATCCAGCACAGCTGTTCATGCAACTCTGCTGGAGAGGCCTGCCTCTTGTGTGATACCGTGCCGAGGGGTAGCTGATCCAACAGACAACAGCTCAGTACAGACTTGCGTGTCATTTACTCTCATTTCATGACAATTAATTTGCTTGGGGACCAAGGGTGTTCAGTAGTTACATTAAGATGCAAAGAAAAAGTAAACATTCATGCATCCTTTATCTCCTCATTTCAAGACAGATAAGTCCCATCAGTGTCTGCAGAAGATATTCTCATTGACATTGTTTATCTGTTCCACTTGACTCCAAATGACACTTGAGAAACAAGAACTATCATACCACGGTGTTTTTATAAAGCAGTGATGACTACAGCGGGCCAGATATTAAAGAGAAAACATCTAGCCTGAGATTCTACTGCAGCATAAACTCAGTGAGATATGACACAAAGAATCAGGCCCAAACATGCAGGAGAGCAAGAAAGCCTTCCTGGAAAAACCCATCTGGGCTTGAGTCCCTGCTTAATATGCAGCACTGTGCACGTTGGATTTCATTTCATGTGCCAACTTTGCTCCAACATCTAAATCACTGTGTTAAGAAAGAGTCTGAAGCCTAATCAGAAGTTATAGTCATAGCATGGAGCATAGGACATCATAAGTACCTGTGTTCTGATCCTCCTCCAGCTCTCCCACCTCACTTAGATCATGCATCTCTCTTTCATACCGGCTGTCTGGTCTTGATTCAATACCAGGCTTCTCAAGATAGGGTGGCAAAATGGTTAACTTTGGAGCCAAAGAGAGTTACATTGGAATCTCAGCTCCATCACTTACCACTTACATGACCTTGGGAAGTTACCTAACCTCCCTGATCTTGTTTTCTCATCTCACAAAAGGGGAATAATATTGCCTACCCCATAAGATTGTTGTGTGAATTAAACGAGATATTTTGTGCAAAGCACTGGGTACGGTGCCTGGTGGCAGCAAGGGTTCAATAACTGGGCTATTCATGATGCCCTATTATGCCTTGCACAGTTAACCCCAGAGCACATTTTCAATAAGCATTTATTAGCGGTTATCTCAGGGTCATGAGAATGAATGATCTCTTGGTTGGTTTTTACTGTACTTCACTCAACACGAATCATGCTTTATTGAGCACATATTATGTGCTAGACCCTGCTGCACGTGGTTTGTGTCTCAACTCATCTAATCCTCACACAGTCCAATCATTCTGTGGGTGGGGGGAACAGGAACACGCACCCGGGCAATCTGGCTCCGGCACCTGCCCTCTTAACCACTACTGCCTCTGCCCAGGAGCAGCTGCTACTTGTTTTGTAACCAGAAAATCAAAAATATTTTAAAAACAATTTAAGATAGTAAATACACACTTGTTGAATGACTGTCAGCTCTCATCTGAATTTGCAAGAACCTGATGATTGAGAGATTGACACTTCTTTTTAATTCAGTCGAAAATTACTGAGAGCAGAGTGTCAGGTACAAAGCAAGATGCTGTGGGAAATATAATAGAAGAAATGATGCCTTCCCTTCAGGGCCTTTAGATGTGGAAGGTGAAATATTATTGCTAGTAGCTGACATTCATTTACTGTGTGCCGTGTGCCCAGTCACTGTGCTAAACACTTTGTCTACATTATCTTATTCAATACTCATGACGAATCGATGAAATAGGTATGATTAACACCCCCATTGTGCAAATGAGGAAACCAAAGCTTTTAAATCTTAATAACTTGCTGGAGGTTCCAGGAAGAAAAACCTGCACAGGTTAAGTGCCACGTGGCTGCCACAGGCAATGATTCACATCCATCTTTCTCTTCCCCACTGTCTTAAAAAGCAGGCCACCTGGTGGGTGCTTGAAACATTCCTGGCAAAGTGAATACCCACTTTTCAATACACTCTCATTGCTAAATATCTGTGCATTTACCAGACATTAAAGTTTACATGCACGTGATTACAGAGTTAGTGAGTTCTAAAGAATTCCACCTTCAGAGTTCATGGGCCTCTTCATACATCCTCCCCACCAGCATCTCCTCTTCCACCTTCAGCATTTGGAGATGGGCCTGAAATGGAGAAGACATTGCCATCTCCCTGCTCTCGCCTGTTAATTCTCAATTTCAAGATGTTCTATTACACCTGATTTATGGTCTGACAGAGCTCATTCTAGCCCACGACCTTGAGCTTGTCAAATGCACGGGGGAAAATTTACTAACGACTGTGTTCATCTTAATGCACTGTAGGGAATTTTTTAAGTGAAAAAGCCTCAAGAAGCAGGGACATTTCAAACAGCCAATTATGAATAACAATCGTTTGATGGCTGAGCACTGTAGATCTTCCAGCTCATTCGGTTTTCATCTAATTAAATCTTTCATTTCCATGGGCAGCGTGCAGTACAAACTTGTGTCTGCTTTTGTCGGCTGGAGATAATCAATAGCAGACATGTGGATGCATTTCAGCATTTATTAGCAGCTCAATCGAAAGTTGTTTTATTTTAATAACATCCTTGCCTTTGTTCTGTTCAGGATAAATCGACAGCTTTGATGAATAACAGACAGAAAACTGGTTTATATTATCCCATTAAGAGTAAAGAAATCAGAGAATGAAAGGGAGCTGAGAAACTGAAAAACACTTTAAAGCTGTATTTTCCTTGTTATGAAGAAAAGGGAGAAACAAAAATGCCTTCCATTCACTCTAAAGTATCATCAAACGTATTTGACTTCAGCTACATATCCCTTCCAAGACCAAAACAATAAATTCCCTCATTCTGAAACTTTCTACCACTTTTATTTGCTGATCATAGTTAGTAATTCTTGGTTAATTTCCACTGGAGCTGCAAGATGGATCAGAAAGGGGAGAACCAGGTACAAAATGTCATTCGTTCACCAGAAATGAACCCAAATGCCCAAAAGCTCACATCCTGAAATAGCAGGCACAGTGGCAGGGGTCGGATGCCTTAGAACAAATACACAAGGTTCACCATGGTGAGGCATTTACAACAGCCTGCTGCACACCTTGGTCAGTGGAATTTAAACTGATCTGTGGGCCAGAAGACCTCTCTTTGAAATCTCGCTTGGTATAGCCAACCATTTACTTTACAGTGCCATGAAATATCTCTCAGGCATCTCAAATATAACATCTAAAAACCTGAATGTTTTGCCACAATAAGACACCACTTCATACCCACTAGGATGGAGGTTATCCAAAAACTTAATAAATAACAAGTGTTGGCAAGGAAGTGGAGAAACTGGAACCCTTGTGTACTTTGAGTGTGAATGTGAAATGGTGCAGCCACCGTGGAAAACAGTTTGGTGGTTCCTCAAGAAACTTAAAATAGAACTACCATATGATCCAGCAATTCCACTTCCAGGTATAAACCCAAAAGAAGTGAAAGCAGAGGCTTGAACAGATATTTGTACACCCATGTTCGTAACAGCATTAAATAACAAGCAATAAGCAAGAGCTGAAAGGTGGAAGCAACCCAAATGCTCATCAATAAGCAGATGAATAAATAAAATGTGGCATATACATACAATGGAATATTACTCAGCCTTAAAAGGGAAGTTCTGACACAGCCTACAGCATGGATGAACCTGGAAGACACTGTGCGAGTGGAAAAAGCTAGTAACCAAAGGACAAATACTATACGATTATATGAGGTACCTAGAGCAGTCAAATTCACGGTGACAGAAAGTAGAATGATGGTTGCCGATACTCGGATTTTTCTTATTGTGGTAAGACATATATTACCACAATAAGAAAAATCTGAGTATTCTAATGCCCAGATATAGTTGCCCTCTGATATTTCCCACCTGAGCATACAGTGCATCCATTCACTCAGGGGCTCCAGCCAGACAGCTGGGAGCCAGTCCTGGTACCTCCACACTCAAGCCCCGAGCCCTCCAGGCATTTCTCCACTAGCAGCCAGACTGGGCTTTTACAGGCCTAAACCGCGTCCTGCTACCCTTCAGCTTCAAGCTTCCCCTTGCACTCAGAATCCAATGAGGACTCCTCCCTCTGAAGCCACATGACCTTGCCAAATTCTTGTGCCACATCCTCCCTCACTCTGTACTTCTGTGCTTCTCCTCACACTCTGTACTTCCATTAGTTCCTCAAACTAACCAGGTTCCATCCTCACGCAGGGCCTTTGCCCGGAACATTCTCCCCTCATCCTTTGCAGGCCAAACACTCCTTAGACTTCAGGCCTCAGCATAAATGGAACTTCCTCAAGGGTGCTTCACAGCTGCCACACTGCAAAAAGAATGCCTCTTCTCTCCTGTCAAGCGCTCTCTTAGCCCCCTGGCACTTTCTGCATGCCTCTATTTGTACATCCCTCACTACCCAGGAGACGGTCAGATGCCTGAGGTCAGCGCCCAAGTCTGCCTTGATCCACAGTCCCAGCACTTATTGCAATGTCTGGCACATAGTAGGTATGCACTTGTTGATGAGTGAATAAACAAAGGAATGCATGTTCTTTTAAATCACCCAAACAACGGGAAGCAGAAACCCTGCCTTTAACCCAAACAGCCCCCACCTTTTACTTTCTTAGACACCCAGACAGGCCTTTGTACAGTAATGTGAAACACGTCCCACCTCCACTATCCCACATACCTGCTCATAACCATTGGCACTGGACGCTCGCACCCAACGGCACCCTTAGAAAGGGGCCTTGCTTTTCCTAAGACGGGGCTGAGAGGGACACCTGTCGAAGACAAGGCAATTGCTTGAGTTGTTTCCTGCAGTGCTACAAATCCACTGACCAGTGCCATACAGCTGTTCCCATACTCAGTTTTCACTGGCACACTGCCTGCTGTGTTAGTGAGCAAGTTCCTTGAAACAACATGAGCTCAGCAATATTGATGGAATATAAAATTAGGTATGTAGCTGCCAAGCACCCCAGAAAGGTCCCGATTCCTTACCTCAGCAGTAATGATGAAGCTGGAGGCTCCCGGGCCATTCTTCCTCCCTCTGGCAGGCATCTTCCCCTAGGTAATGCTCCAGCAAACAGTAACTTGGGTTGCAGTGATGATGATGATTATTATGGACTCTATTTTATTCTCATTTAATTAGTAATTATTTTAAATTACATGGCTGAAGAGCTGCTACAATGGGTGTTGCCTGGCAGTTAGGGGTTAATTCTCCAAAAATGCAGAAATATGGGCTATTTTCAGTTCAGCCGTTAGACGCTGTAGTGATGAACGCCTCTCACTGCCATATGGTGTGGTCTAAACCTAGTGTCTTTTCACAATAGTTTCACTTCTATTACCATTAGAGAGAAATATGTAAAAACAGTTTTCTCTCTAAACAGAGCTCCCATGCCAGCAGGCCCTAGAGTACCCTAGAGAAGGAAAGCAAACAACCCTGCAGCACAGGTCGGTGCCAGTTGCTTTCTGCGCCCCCCCTCAGGGATGCTCAAGTTTACAGCTGATATTGAATTGGCCATAAAATGCACATGTCTTCTTTTGGACTCACGAATCCGGTAACGAACCAGGGGTGAAATCCCAAACCCATGGGGCTCGCTGGTGGTGGATGCATGTGAAGCTACCTGGCAACACCCTGTTTTTGTGTTTTTGACATTTAGGGGTGGCTTTATTTCTACAGATGAATATGCTCTCCTCAAATCACTGAATCCAGGGAAATAATAAGATGAGGCTGGAACATCTTTTTGTGTCATAAAGTAAGAAAGTCCTCAAACGATGAAGAAATGTCAAAAGGACACAGGAAGCAACTTGCAATGGCTCCCACTGGCCAAATCTGGGACATCTTGAGCATGAAAAGAAATACTGATAGCAACAGATTAGTATACAGTGAATAAAGCAAGTACTCATGAAGCTATACCTATAGAAGTAAATGAATAAATAAATTAGAAAAGAAAGCTCTTCTTTATAGTAAACAACTAATAAATGCAAAAGAAATGATGGTTATTAGAAAATCACCATTTACTAACCATCATAGTAATGTTTAATTCAATCAAGAAACATCAAAGGATGCTAAACTCTAGTGGGTGAGAGATTGATGAGGAAAGAGATACTTACATAGTCTCAAAGTATCTCCTCACAAGATGCTTATTAATTACAAAGAGACTTTACAATAATTTTACAGTAGAGACACCTGGCAGACAGCAGCACAATAAGTGAATCAAAGTTAAAAATACCAATAACCAGGGACTCCTCTGGTGGTCCAGTGGTTAAGAATCTGCCTTCCAATGCGGGGGATGCAGGTTTGATCCCTGGTCGGGGAACTAAGATCCCGCATGCCGCGGGGCAATTAAGCCTGTGCGCTGCAACTATTGAGCCAGTGTGCCACAACTAGACAGCCCATGTGCCACAACTACAGAGCCCACGCACTCTGGAGCCTGTGCACCACAACTAGAGAGAAGCCCGCGCGCTGCAACAAAGGAGCCTGCGTGCTGCAACGGAAGATCCCGTGTGCTGCAACTAAGACCCGACGCAGCCAAAAATAAATAATTTTTCAAAGAAAGATAGTAACTTAACAAAAAAAATCCCAATAACCAAATAGACATCGTGTGCCACCCTGTGGGGTGTGATTAAAAGAAAAAAAAAAAGCATCTGTGACATTCCAGTCAAAACACATAACCTGAGTCTAACCATGAAGAAACTGGTCAAGACCAAACTGAAGGAGATTCTACAAAATGACTGGCCTACAATCTTCAACCATGTCCGCGTCACAAAACATAGGATTACCACATGATCCAGCAATTCCAATTCTGTATTAATACTCAAGAGAAGTGAAAGCAGGGACTTGAACAGATATTTGTACACTCGTGTTCAGAGCACCAATATTCACAGTAGCCAAAAGGTGGAAGCAACACAAGCCTCCACTGAAGGGTGAATGAATAAACAAAATACGATATATTCATACAATGGAATATTGTTCAGCCTGGAAAAGGAAAGAATTCTGAAACACGCTATAGCATGGACGAACCTTGAAGACATTATGCTACATTAAATAAGTCAGTCACAAAAGGACAAATAATGTATGATTCCCCATATATGAGGTGCTTAATAGAGTGGGAAGATTCACAGAGACAGAAGTAGCATAGTAGTTGCCAGGGGCTGGGAGGAGGGAGAAATGGGGAGTTCGTGTTTACCGGATAGAATTTCAGTTGGAGAAGATAAAAAGTTCTGGAGATGGATGGTGGTGATGGTTGCACAACAATGTAAGTGTACCTAATGCCATAAAAATGTACACTTAAAATAGTTAAAATGGTAAGTTTTGTGTTGCATATATTATACCTCAATTTAAAAAACAAAGTATTCAAGCTTTCGAGTCAAACCTGGGTTCAAGGGCTGGGAGGAGGAGATGGGTACGCTTATGGCTCTGACAGTAATGATAGTTTCACAGGTGCATAGTTATCTCCAAACACCTCAAGTTATATATATTAAATACCTATAGCTTTTTGTATGTCAATCATACCTCAATAAAGTGGTGAAGAAAAAAAAAACCTGGGTTCAAATTCTGACTGTGCTACTAACTCACTGGGTGACCCTTAGGAAAGTTATTTAATTTCTTTGAACCTCAGGCTTCTCATTTATAAAATGGAGACGATATTCAAGCCTACGAGATAGGATGGTCATGAGGCAGAAGATAATACATTTAGCACAATGCCTGGCACATAGTAGGCAGGAGATAATATTAGCAAGATGATAAATGTCCCCACACATGAGATAACATGCTACATGTTTTTAGAGGACGAAGCTACTTTGGTGTGGTTGGAGTATGCGGTGCTGAGCGAAGGTACTAGAATGAAAAGCAGATCTTTTATGCCAAGATGAAGAGTTTACACTTTGTCCTGAAGGCTGTGAGGAGTCACTGGAGGATTGTAAGCAGTGGAGGGAAATATTAGAGAAGAGAGAGAGGACAAAGACATCTGTATATTTCACTCCATCATGGGCTTTCTCCTCTCCATCAACACAGATAATTAACACCACTGGCTTCAGGGAAAACAAACCATTAACAGAAACGCCACATTTAACACTCTCACTTTGCAGCAAACACCTTATCAGAAGAGGGAACTCGGATATAAAGAAGTAACGAGCCACGTAATAAAGTTAGGCTTAAGCACAAACTCCAAAAAGACCGCTCTGCCTTTATCTCCCACTTGAATCACTGGGTGGAGGGTACAGGAGCTTCCTGTGCTTCTATGACTTAACCAAGGCTTCCCACTGCCTTCTCCATCTGTCCCCTAACCCGTGCCAAGCTTCCTTTGGCCCCTTAACATCTGTGATGAGCAGGGCTGGGTCAGAAGCATTTTGCTTGGGTTCAACCTGCACATCAAGAATGGCCTGTGTCACATAACCTCATCTCCTTTCAGTGTTCTAATGTGGTCACATTTTCACCACTGTCACTGTCATTTTAAATAGCTGCTCTCTTCTGATTTTTCTCTCCATCTATAACGCTTAAGCGTTTAGGTGAAACTCAAGATAATGAAAGTAGCCAAAAGCACACATTTCTCCTGGCTAAGCTGCATTTTTCACCTGGTTCTGCTCAGTACTCTAAATGAGATTTTTGATTTTACTGGTTTTTTTCCTAATTACCTAAGTAATATACGTTCCACCTAGAAAATGTCAAAAATATAGAAAAGCAAAAAGGAAAAATAAAAATTACATATAATCTTATCAACCAGATATGCTTAAAAATACTGGTATACATCCTTCTAGGTTTGTTTTTTTTCCTAGTTTTCTATGCATATTACTACTTGCTCTTTTTAAAATTGGACTCATGTTGTACATAGTGAAAAACTTATGTTTTAAATAATAACTAGTAATTAGTCTTAACACTTCACATTTTATGTCATTAATAGCATATTGTGAACCTATCCCTATGTCATTCAAAAATGTGCTTTAATGACTCCATAGCACACCATCACATTGTGTGTATCAGAGCTATGATCTCCGCTGTCCAAGTTGTTGCATGCACAAACTGGTAGGCCTGGCGTGGGGTGGGGTCCCCCTGGAATAAGAGGAGCCTTTTTTCTAAGTCACACAATGGTGTGCATTTTAGCTAGAAAACGCCCAGGTACACAAAGGGAACATAACCTAGCCAGTTCCCCATCATTGGAATGTTTTAGGTCATTTCCAGTTATCTTTATTATGAATATCTTTGTACATATCTTGTTAAATCAAAGAATATACAATTTTTGAGACTCTTGTTAATGTTGCTGGACTGCTCTCCTACCAAGTGTTTCAGAGTGTTCTTTTCTCTACAACTTTCCAATTCTGGATGTCTCCCTTCTTTTAATCCTGGACAATTATATATGTGACAGGTACACACTTTTAATGTGTAACTACTTGATTACTAGGGAGAATGAATATTTTAAAATGTTTATTAGTAATATGTATTTCTTCCCTTAAAAGTGCTCTATCCATATTTCTTGCCTGTTTTTCTACTGCAGTATTGGTCTCATTGATTGTAGGGCTCTTTGCATTTCAAGAATGTTAACCATTTATCTGCCATATATATATATTTTTTTTAAATTTATTTTTGGCTGCGTTGGGTCTTCGTTGCTGCGCGCGGGCTTTCTCTAGTTGCGGCAAGCGGGGGCTACTCTTCGTTGCGGTGCACGGGCTTCTCACTACGGTGGTTTCTCTTGCTGCGGAGCACAGGCTCTAGGCACGCGGGCTTCAGTAGTTGTGGCACGCAGGCTCAGTAGTTGTGGCTTGCGGACTCTAGAGCACAGGCTCAGTAGTTGTGGTGCACGGGCTTAGTTGCTCCGCAGTATGCGGGGGATCTTCCCAGACCAGGGATCTAACCCATGTCCCCTGCATTGGCAGGCGGATTCTTAACCACTGCGCCACCAGGGAAGTACCCTGCCATGTATTTTTTAAACTTTTTCCCCAATTGTACATTGTCTTTCAATTTTTGCTTTGATGTTTAAAAATTTGTACATCATTTTTAACTTGGGAGTAATCAAACCTATCGATCTTTTCCTTATGTCTTCTGCCTTTGATATTTAAAAAGGCTTTCTCCGTTCCAAGTCAGATTGATTTCACCCATATTTGTTTAATTTCTTATACACCTCATAACTGCAACCTAGGTTCTTTTAAACTGGGTTTGGTTTATAAGGTTCACAGTCTTTAAACCTGTGCTGAACCATGTAGTTGCTCTGGCTGGTAGAGCATTGTATAGGGAATGGGGAATTGGATGAGGAAATGGATTATCTTCACCAATGGACTTGGATCCTCTGTGCCTAAATCCTCTGTGTGTAAAATATAGGAAATTACATTTGGAACCCAAGTTTTACCTTTTTTAAAATTATAACATATGGTACATATACAGAGGGCCACACAGTGTGATGAACCATCATGAAACAAATGTTCATGTAACTGCTATCCATATTACTGAGATGGAGGGGGAGGGAGAGAGAGGAAACGAGGGAGGGAAGAGGAGGAGGAAGGGAGAGTGGAGGGAGGGAAGGAGGGGCGGAGGGAGAGAGAAGACAGAAATTCCTACAATGGGTTCTTTCTCAAGGACACACTCCTTTTATCTCTTGATAATCACTATCCTGTATCAGTCTTCACTTCCTTGTTTTACTTTATGCTCTGCTCTCGTATGTATTCATCACCTATCTTTTCTGCATATTTTTAAGTTTCTAATGGTTTTTTTTTCACTCTTATTTATAATCCATTTGGAATTTATCTTATCATACGATGTGAGGAATCAAAAGTTAATTTTCCACAAGTGGTTTATCAATTTTTTCAGCACTGTTTAGCATAATACTTTCTTCCTGAATCAGTTTTTTAAAGTCAGATCTCTCAAGATGTAATTCATCCTCTTTAAGATTATAATGCCATGAATTCTGACAAATACATAATGCGTAGTCACAACAATCAAGACATATAGATGGAGTATTTCCATCATCCCAGAAAGTTTGCTTGTGCCCTTTTGTAGTCAATCCCCCATCCCCACCTGCCAGCTCCTGGAAACCACCGATCTGTTCTCTGTCCATACAGTTTTGCCTTTTCCTGAATGTCAACTGAATATAATTATACAATGTATATAGCCTTTTTTTTCCCCAATGTTTTATCCAGCCTTTTCAGTCTGGCTTTTTCACTTACCGTAATGCTTTTGAGATTCATCCATCTTATTGATGAGAAGTATTCCATTGTAGGGACGTACCACAATTTATAGATTCAATCTTCCAGCATTAAGTATAATGGTAGCCATAGGGTTTTTGTAGATGTCCTTTATCAGATTGAGGAAGTTCTAGTTTGCGGAGTTTTTATCATAAATGGATGTTCAATGTTATCAAGTGCTTTTCATGCAGATATTAAGCAACACATCTTGGTCCGTCTGCCCTGGGAGTAATAGGCTCTGCCACTCCAGAGACTTGAGGTTGTAGTCTACTGTCCAGGGAAAATTGTCCAGGTTAGTAGGCAGGGCCTTGGGCCTCACATCCACTGATCACTTTGAACCCTGTGGGTAACTGAGTTTGCTGCCCTACCCACAGTAGCTTAGAGCTTTTGATCCCTAAAGGAGGAAAATCCAGGGACGCCAATGGCATTTTGTGTCCCCAACATCCATTGATTGCCTCCCTCTGCCTGGACCTCAGAGGTGGGCTCAAGAGGGCCAGCCTCCTGCCCTGCTCCCAATATTTCTTGTGAGCACCTGGTGGAAGTCTGTGGAAGAGTTTGTAGCTGAGTGGAAACTCCTCTTCTACCTCAGCTTTCCCAGATTTACACACTCACCCACACATGGATTTTGTGTTACAATTTAGCTGATTTCTTCTCCCCACGTGGATAGTGGCCGTGCCTCTCCTCCCCATGCTCTGCCAGAATGGAGACAGTTGTGAAGCCCATTTCTCCTCAGAGGGGCTTGTCTCTCTTCTGAATGAGGTTACTTGGTTGCCTCACAACCTCATCTTTCTCATGAGCTCAACAAAAGTAACGATTTTGTAGTTTATCTGTCATTTTCTCATTATTAGGACAGAAGCGATGTGCTTAGCAGCTTTCTGTAACTTAAGCAGAAATATAAGAACATTTCAATTCCACCTTTATCCTAAACCATATGGATATACTTGAGCCTGTTTGGCGGGCTATTTTTATTCTTACACAAGAATCATGCTACTTTTATAATAAATCTTTCTTTCTAGCACTGTAAGTCACCTCTCAATCTTCTAAAAATTCTTCAGCCTTTTATTAAGCTTCCCAGGTGACCTTAGGATTATATTGTCTAGTTAAAAAGAAAAATACTTTTGACATTTTTATTAGAATTGAAATGGCTGAATTATTGAGTTATGCCATCCAAGAATGTGGTATGCCCTACCATTTATTTAAGTCTTCAAGTCTCCCAGGTAAGTTTTACAGTTTTATTTATATGGGTCCCGCATACTTTTCTTATGTGAAGTTTATTCCTAGATATTTTCTATTTTAGTCTCTATTTTAATGCCTTTTTAAAATTGTATATCCTGATGATTATTGATTTAAGGCATAAGCATTGACTTTTGTATACTGATCTTGTAACCAGCTGCCTTACTGAACTCTCCTTACTTCTAATAATTCTTCAGTTGATTTTCTTCGGTTCCTAGGGAGGCAATTATACGCAAGTAATAATTTGTCTCTTCCTTTCCAAAGATATTTCTCTTATTTCATTTTATATTACTGCTTTGACTAAACTTTTGGTAAATTAAATAACCATGGATGGTGGGCATACTTGACTTGTACCTGACTTTGGTGGGAAACTCCAGAGCTTCATCATTAAGTACGATGAAACCTGAGGCAGATACAACAAATTCGCTTACTGAGCAGTCACTCAAATTCCCTTGCAGGCTGTACTTGAAAAAGAAGAGAAAGAAACAGCCCCTGACATTCAGAAGCTGGCCAGGCACTCAACGCTGTTATTCTCCTTTTGGACGTAAACCAGGTATCTCACAGAATACCAACTCAGACAAGGTCATTCTGAGAACATGATTAAATCATATAAAGCAAGTCCACAACATAATTTTGTCTAAGCACAGACAAAAATAAGGTTGCTGTGCCATCCACAAAATACCAAACATCACCCTCTTTTCGCTTAAATGAGTGACTGTTAATTCTTTATCAATTAATGACACCTGTTTCCTCACCCTAGTCTGCCCTCCCTATGTATAAAATTTGAGATAATCATAGAATTCCCACACACACACTTTCTGATGGCATCCAATACAGAGCAAACCTTAGCTTCCTTAGACTCTCCACAACTCAATCAACCAAAGCCCAAATCCTATAAAGTCACTCAGCCAAAGCCCAAATCCTAATATCCTCTTGCTGAGGATTCCCCATGGTTCCCCACAGTGTGTGTTCTCCCTTGCTGCAACAATAAACCTGACTTTTTCAACTATAATTGTGATCATGGTGGTCTCTGGCTGCAGGATATTGACATGTTTTAAGAGGCTAGAAAACTAGAAAGTACATTTCTATACTCCTTTATAGCTAAGGTTCAGTCCTATGACATTTCTGCCAGTCACTGATACCCATGCTTAAATTAGTCTAACAAGATGTTGGAATGGGACACTTGCTACCTTAGTGTGGTGTCTTAGACTGAGGCACCACTGTGATAGGCATCAAGATGCCAAAATGATTGTGAGAGAATCACTTCTAACTCCCAATTATGACTCAAGTTCATCTTTTGATCAATTCTAATCCAGAACTGTACAGAGAAATAGAATGATCCAGCTCATTCCTACAAAGAATTTTAAACTTTTTCTGTATGTTTTATGCCCTTGTCTCATACGTACTTTTTCATTTGTATTTCTTTTTAATTGTAGTTGATTTACAAGGTTGTGTTAGTTTCTGGTATACAGCAAAGTGATTCAGATATATATATATATATACACACACATATACTTTTTCATATTTTTTCCATTATAATTACAAGATATTGAATATAGTTCCCTGTGCTATACAGTAAGACCTTGTTACTTACCTATTTTATATATAGTAGTTTGTATATGCTAATCCCAAACTCCTAATTTATCCCTCCCCCACCCCCTTTCCCCTTTGGTAACCCTAATTTTGTTTTCTACGTCTGTGAGTCTGTTTCTGTTTTGTAAATCATTTGTGTCATATTTTACATTCCACATAAAAGTGATATCATATGGTATTTGTCTTTCTCTTTCTGGACTTACTTTACTATGATAATCTCTAGGTCCATCCATATTGCTGCAAATGGCATTATTTCATTCTTTTTTATGGCTGAGTAGTATTCCATTGTGTGTGTGTGTGTGTGTGTGTGTGTATATATATATATATATATATATATATATATATACACACACACACACACCACATCTTCTTTATCTTCACCTACTGACAGATATTTAGGTCACTTCCGTGTCTTGCCTATTTGTATCATTTGTATTTCTTATTGGACTTACAAGATCTGTCCATTTCAATGATTCTTTCCCCCAAAGAACCAAGAATTAGGAGTGTTTTATTATCAAGTAGATTATGCTTAAACTTTCTTTTTAAGAACAAATTTCTGGTTTTAGGGCAGTATTTTTAAAAGTGACCTAGGGCTTCCCTGGTGGCGCAGTGGTTAAGAATCCACCTGCCAATGCAGGGTACATGGGTTCGAGCCCTGGCCAAGGAAGGTCCCACATACCCCAGAGCAACTAAGCCCATGCGCCACAACTACTGAGCCTGTGCTCTAGAGCCCGCGAGCCACAACTACTGAGCCCACATGCCGCAACTACTGAAGCCCGTGCACCTAGAGCCCGTGCTTTGCAACAAAAGAAGCCACCGCGATAAGAAGCCTGCACATCGCAACAAAGAGTAGCCCCCGCTCATCACTAGAGAAAGCCCACGCACAGCAAAAAAGACCCAATGCAGCCAAAAATAAACAAAAATAATTTTTTTTAAAGTGGTCTATATAATTCTTACTTGAGATAATGTGAGGTCTTCTTTGTAAATCAATTTTACAATTGTAGAATCAATTTAGAGTCTACAACTGTAGAATCTAAAATTTGTAGAATCAATTATACAAATTGTTATGGACATTTGAAAAGGATAGGTATTCTCCTTAAGAGTACAAAGTTTGAAATACTTATCACAGCTGCTACTATGTAGCAAACTACCTCAAATTTCAGTGGCTTAAACAATAAGAACTTACTAATTTCTTCATGAGTCTGTAGGTCAGTTTGTGGTGGTTTACCTGTTCTCACCTGGGCTCATTCAGGCTTCTGTCATCAGTTTTTCCTGCATCTGCAGCTGTGCTGATGTCTGCTGGGCTCTCTCGTGTTTTGTGGTTGGCTGCCTGTAAGCTGGGGCCCACATCTCTCTTCCACGTGGTCTCTCTTCCTTGAGCAGATCAGCCTGGGCTTGTTTACATGGAGAAGCAGAGGTCCAAGAAAGAAAGAGGAAGCAAACAGGGCCAAGGCTGAAAACCTGCAAACTGTCACTTCTGCCACGTTCTATTACAAAGTAAGCCCAAATTCAAGAGGTCAGAAGAGACTCCACCTCATAATAAGAGGCGCTGCAAAGTCACACTGCAAAGAGCATGGATATAGAAAGAGTCAAGAACTGTGGCCAGAGAAAATGAACTTAAATCGTTTCTTATGCTGGGGTCCACTATGGAAACTTGGAACTTTTCGATGACCTTCAGGAGGTTTAGAAATGGTTTCACATTGACTGCAGAATGTATTCCTCCATATGTGCATTAAACAACGCTTTTAGGTTCATTTATGTCTTTTCCTTAAATTCCACTTTGTGATATTAATATTGCCATCCCTTACTTTCCAGAGTGGAATTTTTATGTCTCCTTGAGCCATAAGTGAAAATAAAAATTCATTCAAGTCCCTATTGGACAAACACAAAAAATATTTTACTTGACTGCACAAGTATGATTCATTTCCCAATATTTTCTCTTTGATCCAATGTATTTGTGATTCCATACAGATAAATCCTAAGTTATGTACTAACATAACTCAGAGTAGGCTGGTTTGCTTAAGAATAAAGGCTAGAACCTCTCTTATATAGAGAGCTGACCCTAGACAGTTATATCAGAGACAGTGGGTTAAGAAGAGGTGCCTATTCCTAGAAGTGTTAATAATGTCATCTACATAGACAAAACTACATAGTTTTGTCCTGCTTTAGAATCTTTCTGGAAGCTCACCTACGCCAAAACATTTCCTGTTTTAAACCCACACATGTGATTGAGCTCTTCTTAATCAACTAAAATTATAATTACAACCTCTGCACTAAAATGAAATGACTGGAAAAAATCTAATCGTTTTCATCACATAGAAAAACATATCCCTTTTATTTTGCAATGTTTGCAGTATACTCACTTTGCATGCCTTTCCCCTCAGTGTTAGCGGGAGCCTCATAAAGTTCAGTAACTCTGAGTCAGCTCCAAAGACAGTATATTCCCCATCCACATCACACATCCCACATCTTATTTCTGGAAGGATGAAGTGGTCCTAACATTTATAGAGTTGAAAACAAAACCCAAGTCGGCATTCTGACAACATAACCCTTTACTGATCCATATAACCTTTGTCATTTTACCCTTTCCCCTCACTGTATCTTTAAGAAAATAAACTTGCCCAAAAATCCAATGACTGTTTTCCAGGGCACCCTGATGTCTGCTCCCATAGGCCCATGTCCCTCTGCTTTCGTAACACTCAGCACAGTGAAGACTTGTAATTAGTGATTTACTGAATTACTCTGCCTTTCCCAGCAGAGTGTGAGCTCCAGGAGCAAGGGCTGATTCCTCTTTCACTGTCTGTATCCTCAGCACCAGGCATATAATGGTTGCCCAATAAATTATGTTGAGTTAAAGAAAACAAAAGCTAACCTTTAAAAAAAAAAAATCTATCATATGGTAGCAGTCGGGGTGATGGTTACCTTTGGATAGGTGGGTAGTGACTGGGAAGGGGTATGAAGGGGACTCAGGGTTGCTATCACATTCTATTTCTTCACCTGTTTACCTGGGCACGTTCACCACTTGATCAATTATTGAGCTAAACTTATGATCAGTGCACTTCCTGAATGGGCTACACACCAACTAAAAAAGTTTAAATCTATCATAATTCTCTGACAAAGAAAGAAGGAAATCACAAGCATTCAGATATTGCCATTAAAGAATAATTAAGACATTAGTTTCTGAGCCATGTAAAGTTAATTTTAAGTGGGGACCAAAATGTTCATTTATGTTAGAAAGTGCACTCTCAGCCACGGAAACTAACCAGACGGACTTAGCAACAGTCACTAATGGGAAAGATTCATTGAGAAAATATATATACACAGTGCTTAAAACAGTGCTAGGCACCCAGTGCTGCATGTTAGCAATTAGTACACTTTAACCAGAAGCAGCTCCAAGTAAAGGCTGAATCTTAGATCACAAGCAAACTTTCTTCATTAGAATCTAACATCTGTTTTGTCCTTAACTCTTTCAAAACAGCTTTAACAGCCTGATGAAGCAGCAACCTCATTTACGTAATTTATAGTCACGGAGTCCACATCACCACCTGGCGTGTTTTAGTCACACCCGAGGAAGTCAAAACTCAAGGCTAAAACTCATGGAGCATCTGCACTGAAAGAGAGCCCAGAGACCCTCTGGCCCAGCGATTCTCTAGCCACACATCACTGGGGCATTCATTACAAGTGCAAACCCCCTGGTCTCCCACACCAGATCCTGACTCACTAAGTCTGAGATAGGGCCCAGGGATTTGGATCTTTTAACAAATCCTTCAGGTGATTCTGAAGAAGGTGGTCTACAGACAACACTGAGCCTCTTATCTTCTAGATGAATGAAATGGAGGCCAGGGAGGGAGGAGACCTGCCCAAAGTCGTCTTCTGGTTAATGAGTATGCCAGGACTAGAATAAAGTTCCCTTTCCACCACTCCAGTGTTATTTCCATGATTCCACGCTATAATAGCTTAGGACCCAGAATCTGCCCTAAACCTCAGTGGCTTACTCCACTGAGCTCTTTGCCTTTTTACCCACATATTAAGGTAACTGCAGAGGCCCAGAAAATACCTGTATATTCGCTAGGTATGCAGAACCAGGTACTTAAACCTAGAGTTTAAATCATAGCTCCAATATTCACAAACTGTGTGACCCTGAGACAGTTATTTGTAAAATATAGCATGGAACATGTCAAATAATGAGGTCCCAGTAAATAGTATCTATAATTAATGCCATCTTAAAACATGGCACTAAAGCTACATTTTTCATTTGACTAGAGGGATATTCTCAAAGTACAGTCCCCTACAACAGAATCACCTGGAAGTGCTTGTTTAAAACATATTTCTAGTGAATCAGAATCTCTTGGGCGAAACCCATAAGAAGTCTGCATTAATAAGCAAGCACCCCAAGTTCTTCCTCTACATACAAACGTTTGAGAAACACCGGACTAGGGCTGTGGACAGAGTGCCTCTTGTCAATGAAAACATGTGTATCAACGAGAATCAGGTAGTGCTGAACACTCTTAACAATTTTCTGCTAACAAGAGGGAAGTGAGTGCCACCTACTGCCTTATTTTTATTTATTATTTATTTCTTATCATTATTTTATTTATTTTTGGCTGCGCTGGGTCTTCATTGCTGCACGTGGGCTTTCTCTAGTTGCGGTGAGCAGGGGCTACTCTTCGTTGCAGTGTGCGGGCTTCTCATTGCGGTGGCTTCTCTTGTTGCAGAGCACAGGCTCCAGGCACACGAGCTTCTGTAGTTGTGGCACGCGGGCTCAACAGTTGTGGCTCACGGAATCTAGAGCACAGGCTCAGTAGTTGTGGTGCATGGGCTTAGTTGCTCCGCAGCCTATGGGATCTTCCCGGACCAGGGCTCAAACCTGTGTCCCCTACACTGGCAGGCTGATTCTTAACCACTGTGCCACCAGGGAAGTCCTGTGCATTAATTTTGTATCCTGCAACCTTACCAATTCACTGATTAGTTCTAGTAGTTTTCTGGTGGCATCTTTAGGATTTTCTATGTATAGTATGTCATGGACAAACAGTGACAGTTTTACTACTTCTTCTCCAATTTGTATTCCTTTTATTTCTTTTTCTTCTCTGACTGCTGTGGCTAGGACTTCCAATACTATGTTGAATAACAGTGGCAAGAGTGGACATCCTTGTCTTGTTCCTGATCTTAGAGGAAGTGCTTTCAGTTTTTCACCATTGAGAATGATGTTTGCTGTGGGTTTGTCATATATGGCTTTTATTATGTTGAGCTAGGTTCCCTCTATGCCCACTTTCTGGAGACTTTTATAAGTGGGTGTTGAATTTTGTCAAAAGCTTTTTCTGCATCAATTGAGATGATCACATGGTTTTTATCCTTTAATTTGTTAATATGGTGTATCACATTGATTGTTTTGCATATACTGAAGGATCCTTGCATCCCTGGGATAAATCCCACTTGGTCATGGTGTATGATCCTTTTAATGTATTGTTGGATTCTGTTTGCTAGTATTTTGTTGAGGATTTTTGCATCTATGTTCATCAGTGATATTGGTCTATAATTTTCTTTTTTGTGATAACTTTGTCTGGTTTGGGCATCAGGGTGATGGTGGCCTTGTAAAACAAGTTTGGGAGTGTTCCTCCCTCTGCAAATTTTTGGAAGAGTTTGAGAAGGACTGGTGTTAAGTCCTCTCTAAATGTTTGATAGAATTCGCCTGTGAAGCCATCTGGTCCTGGGCTTTTGTTTGTTGGAAGATTTTTAATTGAAGTTTCAATTTCATCACCTGTGATTGGTCTGTTTATATTTTCTAATTCTTCCTTATTCAATCTTGGAAGGTTGTACTTTTCCAAAAATTTGTCCATTTCTTCCAAGTTGTCCATTTTATTGGCATAGAGTTGCTTGTAGTAGAGTCTCTTAGGATGCTTTGTATTTCTGTGGTGTCTGTTGTAACTTCTCCTTTTTCATTTCTAATTCTATTGATTTGCATCCTCTCCCTTTTTTTCTTGATGAGTCTGGCTAAAGCTTTATTCATTTTGTTTATCTTCTCAAAAAACCAGCTTTTAGTTGTATTGATCTTTGCTACTGTTTTCTTTGTTTCTATTTCATTTATTTCTGCTCTGATCTTTATGATTTCTTTCCTCCTACTAACTTTGGGTTTTCTTTGTTCTTTTTCTAGTTGCTCTAGGTGTAAGGTTATATTGTTTATTTGAGATCTTTCTTGTTTCTTGAGGTGAGCTTGAATTGCTATGAACTTCCCTCTTAGAACTGCTTTTGCTGTGTCCCATAGGTTTTGGATCATCGTGTTTTTGTTGTCATTTGTTTCTAGGTATTCTCTGATGTCCTCTTTGATTTCTTCAGTGATCTCTTGGTTATTTAGCAGCACTGTTTAGCCTCCATGTATTTGTGTTTTTTACTTTTTTTTTTCCTGTACCTGATTTCTAATCTCACAGTGTTGTGGTCAGAAAAGATGCTTGATACAATTTCAATTTTCTTAAATTTTCCAAGGCTTGATTTGTGACCTAAGATGTGATCTATTCTGGAGAATGTTCCATGTGCACTTGAAAAGAAAGTGTATTCTTCCACTTTCAGGTGGAATGTCCTAAAAATATCAATTATTTTAGAATGCAAGCCTGCGACTGGTTCAATTCCTCTCTCCATTAATTTGAATGCACTCTGAAAAATGAATCAATCCTAAACAAGACAACCAAGCAATAGAAAGCATTGTTGGTAGGAGACATAAAATAGTCATTATTTAAGTAAAATAAAACTTTCTAAGTTAAATGGTTTTTGGAGTTTTAGATTAATATATCTAATAAACTCCTGTAATTTCAAGTTACTGCTAAATCAGTAAAGGAAAATATAATCGCTCATCCACTGGCCTATGCCAACAGTGAAAGGAAAAACTGAACTATAGAATGCCCTAAAATATTGCACTGAAACAATGTGCAGGGATGCTCCCGTCCACCACCCCCTCCCCCAGTTCCAGGAGAAAAATCAAGTGAAATAGTAAGGACAAGTTTTCTTATCCTATAACTTTCTACTCAAGTCCAGTATCAAAAGTACCACCTGCAGGGCACAAGCTAGAAAGCTAACATTGCCCTCAAACATCACTCAAAAAAGCCTTCTGAATTACATAGTCTGTCACTATGTTTAAAGCTGATTTCTCCTTCCTAGTTGCAAATACATAAAATATACCCAGAGGCTCAAGAGAGATGGGCAGAGCTTTATAAATATTCATGTAAAACTAGCAGTTGTACTTCATATTTCAATAATTCAATGACAAATCATAAAAAGCATCTGTCTTTAATTTTTGTTGGTTTTAGGAAATGAATGGTAAAATATATACACTGTGGAGTCTTAATACCCCCATCATAGAGTGTGAATGATGGTCCGGTTGCGAAGCTCCTGGATATACTCTTTGGCATGGGCGACTGCTGTCTTTGGTGCCTCAGGTGGAGGTGGAGGGCCTTCCACCAACTTCACAAAATAATGGCAAAAAACCTTCTCCATAATCCCAAAGCGACCTCTGCCGTGGTATCGGATGCGTTTCAGGTACTGGCCTCGCCCTGAGGTGGACTGAGCTAGACAGAGAAGAAAAAGAAAATTATAGGAAACAACTGTATCCACAAGATTACAGCTTGATCAGCTGAGCAATTTCTGCCCTTTCCTCAACTGGATTCTAAGACTACATGAGCTCACAGGCTGGCTACAGCAGGTTTGTCTCAAGACAAGTATCTCCTGAGTCCTTCCTTACTAAGGACCAGGCTCTACTCCAGGTGCTGCAGAAATGGGAGTGAACAAGAATAGCAAGGGCCCTGGCTCTGTGCAGTGCACACTCTAGAGGAGAAAGAGAGAAAATAAACATGATCATTTTAGTTAGTGACAAGTGCTACGAATAAAGAAAACAGTGATGTGACAGAGACTGATGGGGTGCTGGGAGGCAACTTGAGACTGGGGGGTGTCAAGAGGCATCCTTGAGGAAGAGACATTTGATCCAACACCAGAATGAATCATTCATGCAAATATCTAGGGGCAAGGTGTTCCAAGAAGAGGGAACAGCAAGTGCAAAGGCCCAATGGTAGGAACATGCTTGGCTTGGTTCAGGAACAGAACCTGCTGAAGCATAGTAAGCAAGGGAAAGAGTGATAACAAACAAGGGGACGAGATCAGAAATGAAGGCAAGATTACACAGAGCCCTGGAGGCTGAGGGATGACGTTCTGATTTTATTCTAACTGTATTATATTCTAACTGTTCCTTTGGAACCAATGATTCCCAAATGCTGTCCTCAGGCTACTACATCAAACTAACTTAGGGAACATATTTAAAATGCTGATGCTGAGATCCCATCTCTAGATACTCTATATTTGGAGTGGGCTTTGAAAATTAAATCCTGAGCAAACAACACTCCCCCGCACCCCAAGCAATTCTGATTCACAGCCAGGTTTAGGAACTCCTGTATCACATCTGTCCCCTCATCTCCCCTCCCCCATTCAACATGTCAAAGTTTGACCCTGCAAAATTTGAAGAAACCTCTTAAACAGCACAAGAAGAAATCTGTTCACCTGTTCACCCACAGTAAATCAGGGTAGTAATTACCTTCTACCACCTTCTGAATTTACTTAGTCTTACTTTTTAGTTAATTTAATAAGCCTTTTAAAAAGGCAAAATCTATAGCATATGTAGCAAATTAATTCACTTCAATACTCACCATTCTTTTACTGTGACAGAGCTTTATATTGCAGGGACCATATCAAAGTATGTGCTCCACAACCCTCTAACTACAAACCTCTCATGAAATGGTTTCAGCAGAAGCACCCTAGCTTTGCCAAAGAGAAAGCTAAGGATGAAAGTGATTAAGAAAACTGCCTAGGGTCTCAGTGAGATAAGGAGAGAACTACCGCCCTTTTATCAACTTCATCTACTGGCACTAAAGAAATGAATTTAAGAATTTCCAAAGATGGGGGTGGGGGGCAGGTGGGTGAAATGGGTGAAGGGAGTCAAAAGGTACAAACTTCCAGTGATAAAATAAATAAGCCATGGGGATGTAATGTACAGCATGGTGACTATAGTCAATAATACCGTATTGCATATTTAAAAGTTGTTAAGACAATAGATCTTAAAAGTTCTCATCACAAGAAAAAAAATTCTGTAACTATGTACGGTGACAGATGTTAACTAGACCTGTAATCACTTTGCAATACTGAATCATTCAGTTGTACACCTGAAAGTAATATAATGTTATACATCAATTATACCTCAATTTAAAAAAAATTTTAATTTTTCCAAAGAAAAAGCAGCATTACACAAATCACTTTATAATGAGGTACTACCAGGTGCCCTGAATCCACTTGTCAGGAGGAATCCTACAAACAAAAACAGTGACACTGGGAAGAGGGTAGAAACTTCTAAAAAGATTTTACAAACATGATAGCTAATTTTATCCAAAACTGCTACTCTACCCAACTTGAGCACCAATTTCCAAATACCCAGAGAATAAGGAATACTACTCCAGTGAAGGAAGTATCAAAATTAGCTAACTGTGCAGGACTACATAATCTATCAAAACACAATGATCAACCCTATGAGGGTCTATGTTAACTACCATTTTCCTCCCATCTCTCCCA